ACCACAGTAGACTAGCACCCCACTGAAAGCTCTGACCAGGTAACCACAGTAGACTAGCACCCCACTGAAAGCTCTGACCAGGTAACCACGGTAACCCACTGAAAGCTCTGACCAGGTAACCACAGTAGACTAGCACTGAAAGCTCTGACCAGGTAACCACGGTAACCCACTGAAAGCTCTGACCAGGTAACCACGGTAACCCACTGAAAGCTCTGACCAGGTAACCACGGTAACCCACTGAAAGCTCTGACCAGGTAACCACGGTAACCCACTGAAAGCTCTGCCACATCGAGGAGTCGTTAGCTGGACACACCTGTGACTATGTTCCTGAGGACGGCCACCTGCACTCCGCCCCACAAAAGACACATGAATAATGAGTAGGAACTGTGTTTCAGATGAATAATGAATAAAGGTTTTGGAGGAAAAGACTTTACCAATGTTCATCACATGGGGGTGATTGAGGATTAGCTTCTCCATGCCTGAGCAGGGAGCCTGAATCACGGGTTAGGGTTAGGGTTAGGGTTAGGGTTAGGGTTAGACTGGAGCAGCGCTCCTTTGGCCTCAGCAGGGAGGGTTAGGGTTAGGGTTAGGGTTAGGGTTAGGGTTAGACTGGAGCAGCGGGTTAGGGTTAGGGTTAGGGTTAGGGTTAACATCAGTGTGGTCTCAAACCTGTGAAAACATGTCATGGCAGTTTTCTTTGCCTTTGAAGTGCGCTGAATGGACAGAGAGCACATCATATCCAAAGAAAGCGTATTTATGGGTCTAATGCCCAGAGCATGGTGCAACTTCTTTTATCCGTCTGCAGGTTGTTTCTCAGAATTTCCTTTCATCGAATCACAATCAACATCAGAAACAGTCATGCTGGGCTCAGCTTTCTAAACTCAGGCAGATAATCAGGACCCCCCCTGTTCAAACATGCAGTCTGCTCTCACACTCCCTCCATCAGCCCGCCCTCCCTAAAGGTGGCACATTACTCTGAGACAACGGTTGACAGAATCAGAATCATTAGGGTATTCCAAACCTCATCCTGGGAGGGAACTGTAGCTGTGGCTACTTTTCATAAGTATGGTAACATCCAACATGTCTGTCTTACAGCCATTGAATTCTAGCTAGTGTTAATGCTATTAAATCACTCGATGTGTTAGACCAAGTCGGAATAGACCGTAAAAGGGGTGAGTAACATGATACTTTGTCCCGCTTTTACAGAAGATGAAAAAATGACTTTTTCATCATCTTTAGTAATGAGATGGAAAAAACGTTTTTTCCAGTATGACTACTATAATCAGCTCATGAATCACACACACTTCTATTGTGGTTTATGTGTCCAAGAACACACACTCAGCCTTAATAAAGCGTCTTATTAAAGAAAGCTGAAACAGATCAATATTTCTGCTGAGCGTTCGACATCTGCCACATTTTTCCTTTCCCTCTTTGTTTTGCCCAGGGAAGGGGCCCAGTGGTTGGAGGGGTTATAATTGGACATCTGGAAGCGGTTAGAGCAGCGTGGTTGGAACTAGAAGGTTTCTGCTGCCCGATGAAAGCAGCCACAAGTTCCAGGGGCACGTTTTCTCCTGGACAGAAATAAAACCAGCCTCTGCTCACCCTGCAGGGCCCGGGCTGTCTCTCATCTCTGATGCTGCTGAAGGAGGATGAAAAGGTCTCCAGGGTGAATGAACAAGGAGGCCGACCTCCTCACAGATCCACTAACTTCGATAGGCTGATGTGTCTCCTACCCCAAACCCACCGCTTTCGGTCCCAGCATTATTGTCATCCTCTCATTATTGATAAAGATAGTGTCTGATCTGACTTGTCGCTACACTAAACTCGTCCAAAAATTAAACAGATACACATCATGTGTGCCTTCACCAGCAGCTTCCAGCTCCTTCAGTGTTGGAATAACACCAGTTTGTGTTAAACACCAAACACACCAGAACCAGAGCAGCTCAGTGTCCGGCTAACACGAGGGAAACTTTGACTCAACTTGAGTGTCTGTCATAACCCTGAACTGTGACCCGTTAGTGGGGAGCTTTTAGAGTTTTTAGTCACATGAAGGTAAAAAATCCACTGGGGGATAAAAAAAGTTCCCCTTGAAAAAACCTCAATCAGAACCAGAACCAGGATGGGTTCTGCTCCAAATGACCCGTTTCAGACAGCTGGGTTCCCGTTTGAAATAGTGTTGCACACTACACCTCATTTCCAGCAGGTCACGTGCACAAACATGCACTTTTTTATGCGCTCAGCCCAGCAGCAGCTCTGCTTTTAGCAGACACCCGAGCCCGGGCGCAGCACAGAGGACAGAACAGAGGAGCATTCTGCCGCCTCACTGAATCCTTTTTAAGATTTCTACTCAGAAAGTCCTGGAGCCTTTTACTCCACATCAAACAGGAAAAGCACTGAGCTGATGCTTCCAGAGAGAAAACAGCGGCACCACAAAAACAAACGCTGCTTTCCTATAAATATTAATGTGCTGAATATACTCTGAACTGTTTTGTTTAGCATTACTTCAGAAAAAAAGGACTGGGCCAAATTGTTACAAAAAATTGTTGAGTTCATTTCTCCCTGAACAGCTGTCATCATGACCTCTTTTTCCTCAGGTAATTAGTATGAAAAGATGTCCTGGTCAATCTGTTCCCCTGAAAATGAAACGCTGCTGGAGACTTCCACATGTATCTCACATCATTACATCATAGTAGAAGCAAAGAGCCAGAACAGAGCCTCTCCCATGATTACTGTGGATGTTCAGCCATTGGGAGGTACAAGGGTTCATGAAATGTTTGGGAGATATCTGCATGGACTCCCGAGACATCATTCTTCATCCATCTATGAAAGCAGAAAACCAAATAAACTAATTCTCATTAAGGAGAAGTTCTAATTAGCACTGGGTTGAACTTTTCACAGCCACACATTCCATGTAGAAAACATTAAAACTGGTGTGTGTCCCGAATTTGCCCACAGGTGTAAAATCAGGATCTCGCAAAGCCTCAACAGAGAGCACACACATTTCCTGACCTGCTAGAGGAGGGTGATGTAACGCAGAGTGATCCTCCATCATTCAGAGTGCTCACTGGGGCTCGTGCACATCGTGTCCTGAGGTGATGGAGCAGAGGCAGAGTGCTATTTACAGTGTCTTTATCTTTTCTGGTCCCCTGTTGACTTCCCAGATGCTGGGCTGTGTTGCTCCATCAGCCCAGCTCTAACTCAGAGCACATTCCCCATATCAGCACTGGGCTGAACGGTGTCCTAGTACTCTGATTTTGTACATTTAATCACCACTTTCTCCAGAGTTTCTGAAAAGCTTCCCTAAAGTAACTAAATACCTGAACTTGTCCCAGGTTCTGTTTCTAGTGAAAGCTATTTTGCATTTCACTCAATTGTATGATGTAAAGAGTTTGACTAAAGGCACATGATGAAAATAAAGGTCAGGTTTGGGGTTAGGGATGTACTGATCATCTACACCAGGGGAGCCTGAGGTCGGTCCACGCCTGATTCTGACCAAATGGATCAGTTCAGAAGCCCTGCACAAGCCTGAAGACAGCATGCTGGTGTGAAGCAGGGGAGTCGAGGTGAGGAACCTGTAAAACCTGCAGGACAGCGGCTAAAGAGGAGGGAGGGATCCCATAACAGAGCTAAAGCTGACTAGTTTCACCTCTTAAAGATGATCAGGATCAGAGTGATGTCAGCAGATCGAGTGTCACTCCGACGTCTCGCTCCACTTTGGACACTAATGAGTATCAAATCTCATAAAAGTCAAACAATTACAAAAATATCAGATAAAACAATCCAGGCTCTAAAAGGCAGAAGGGAGAGTGGGAAGCCATCATATTTCCAATGAGAGGATAAAGAATCAGATCTATGACAGATTTTTGCTGCTGGGTGAGTCTCATCAGAAATACATTTTTTATTGATCAGACATGGAGGTTGAATTTCTGTTCTGTGGGGGTCAGAGAAGGACAAGTGTGTTGGACACTCAGTGAGGCTGTTAAGGCTCAGAGTTGTGAAATCTGAGGGTCTGAGATGAGTGAAGTCCTGTTTATGGTAGCAACACGCAGAGTTTGGACATTTAAACCAATCAGTAGATGATTTAGGCAGACAGGGAACTGATTTTCCAGTCCAACAAGAACAGAAAGGAAAAATGAACAAAGACCTTGCAGAGAGAGCAGGTGGCGAGGCCAGACCTGGAAACAAGAATATCTGATAATAGCCCCTCCCTGCTGCCAGACGTCTTCGGTCAGGCTTCTTCAGAGTTCTCCTCAGAATTGTTCAGCAGACATAAAGGAATAAAGGAAGGCTGATGTCCGACAGCCCCCATGCTTTAAAGCTCGGGCCCCAGCTGAACTAACCAGTAAAGCACATGTCTTCTTCCCTTTTGCTCTCAGGACAGGGTAGGAGGAGTCGCACCTGATTGGTCGGTTTTTGCTTTGTCTCTATGTGATGTTATTGATTTTGGTAGAAATTGATGATAGTCTCTGTTGGTGCTTTCCTCACTTTGTACGGGCTGCTACTGATGCCCCCCCCCCCCGACCTTTAATAACCTATGTCAGAGACATGAGCTTCAGACAAAGGGGGAAAAGAGGTGAAAAATTAAAGCACTATGTGTCACTCCATAAAACAACAGTAATATACATCCCCGGCTGTATAGGGCCACAGGATGCAGAATGAGACATGTTAAGCTTCAAACTGGAAGAAAAAGAGAGAGAAAAAGCTGCAGGTCAACAGGTCAGAGGTCAGCCAGATGAAGGGTTCTGCTCTGGATATTCCACAGGCCTAACCCCGACCCTTTCCAGCCCTG